CACCAGGAGAGTGAAGGTAAGAGGATGGGGAGAGGGCAGGGGGAGTGGAAGCGGGGGCAGAAAGTAGGGGCAGCAGGCAACCTGATCCTCTCAGATTGCCCTTTTGCAGAGAGACAGAGTATTTGCCCTGTAAGACACGGGTCAGAGGAGGAATTTGGGAGGGCAGGTCGCTTCCCGGCTACGGCAGGCCAGGAATGTGCTCTGAAATTCCTTACATGCCAGGCAACCCCCTCCCCAGATAGTCCCCAGCCTGCCCGGAAGAAACTAAAAACCAAGGGAGTCTGTCTCTACCACTCCTGGGCATAGAACAAGGCCTGTCCCAAGAGGCGGTGTTGGGGTGCAATGAGACAAGGGTTACACTTAGGGACCCAAGTTAAACCCTTTAATGCTAACCAGCTGGGCTCATGCCCCAGTAAAGGTTCTCCCAGCAGGGCCTTTGCCCATCTGCCCCCCAAGTGCAGCTCAGTTCCAGGTCCTGTCTGGGAGCAAGTGGCACTGAGTCAGGCACATCCAGTGGAATTCCTGCGTCGGCCTGAAGAGGCGCTGCAGTGGGCCCTACACACCGTCTTTCCTAGTGGGACAGCTTCTGAGTCCCTGGCCTTGAGAATATGACCAGGGGACTCGCCTGACTGACAGGGCTGCAGTCTCACTCTGCTCTCTGGGGCTCAGAAGAACCTGCCTGGAAGGTATAGGTGCCCCTCGGCCTGGAACAAGCAATCTGGGGGAGTCCCTTTTGGTTAGAGCCCCATTGTATTTAGAGCAAGCAGAAGCCTAGCAAATACTTAGCCCACTCTACAGATGAGAAAACTGAGGAATGGGGAGGGAAAGTAACTCATCCAGGAGTCCACAACGCTACATCTTCAGTGGCAGGCCCTCCGACCCTGGTCTCCAATGGCTACCATGAGATTCTCTCTCTCCCTCTGCTCTACTGCACTAATCTTGAGCCCAGTCCTGGCAAGCCCTCCTCTGAAGTGTGGCCTCCACCAGGAGGGGCCATGGATGTCTGCGGACAAAGGTGGACTCTGGGTAAGAATGCCAGGGCACAAGACCCTCACATCACCCCATCCTTTCTCTGCTCACCCCTTCCCCAGAGCCATGCCCAAGACTTACCTCAGCACAGCAGCTGCCGACAGATCCTGGAGGTGTCTGCTCAGCCTCAGCAGGGACTGGGTGAGGCAGGGGATGGAGAGGGCTTTAAGCAAGCATGTGGGCTGGGGCCCGGTGAGCCAGCCCTGCGGAGGGAGGAATGCGCGACGGGGGACGGGTGGGGCAGGGGGATGGCAGTGGGGGTGGGGGGTGTTGGCTGCTATTTTGGCAGGTGCCAGGGACAAGGCTACAGGAACATGTACCCCACGCCATATAAGCCCATGTGGTCCTCCAGCTGCTCAGATAAGCTATTTAAAACCAGAGCAGATACGCAGAGAGCAGGCATGCAACATAAACCAGCTGTCCTCCTGAGAATCCTGATAAAGCAGAAGCCGACAACCCACACCAGGGAGGGCCGGCCGGGAGCAAGGCTGGGGACAGAGGTAACCTCCAAGACACTCCATAAGTCTCAGCACCAGGGTCTTGGAAGGCAGAGGACAAGAGCTGTGTGCTGCTCCACTCGAACGGATGCTGGGGGTAAAGACGTCTTCTGGGCTACTGGCTCCTAATGGGCGGAGCAGCCTTGGGCAGGTTGCCGGCTCTACCAGCCTCAGTGAGGACATCTGCAAGATGGGTCTTCTCCGTGACCCCCAAAGCCACGTGGCACACCCTCCTCACAGGCAATGGGCTTAAACTGCTACAGGAGGTCAGACACAAGGTAGAACTTCCAGTCAAGAACCTTGAATAGCCGGCTCATTGTGTGAGCATGATGGTGAGGACTGCCAAAGGTCATCCCCCAAAGGCTTTAAATCAACCAGTGCAGGACCATGATCTGCCAGCCCTACTAGACTGCAGACGCAGAGGTCAGGGCCAGGGGTATGCGCGCTTGCCTGCGTCTGACCATGCATGTGCACGTGTATGTCCAGGGCTGGCCCATTGCGGGTTCGGTAGATGATGAAAAAGAGAGAGGAGGAAAGCAAGCCAGTGGGCAGCTGAGCTGACACTCCCTTCATCTCTCTAAAGCTTCACAGCCTAGGTCCTGCCTGGCTCTGGACCAGGCCCTCCCCTCCCCCATGACTCCCCTGGCACTTCCAGATCTTGCCATTCATGACCCACACTCCTCTGTTTCTCCATGGACAAAGAAAGCAATTCTGCCATTCTCTGCCATCTTCTCCCTTCACACAACCATGTGTCCTGCCTTCCCAGTCCTCAAACTCTTTGCTGTCCCTCTACCTCAGGAGCTACTATGCTGCCTCCACCTCTAATGTCCTTGAAAAGGTCCTCTGCACAGGGCACTTCCATTTGCTCCACACCCATGCTGCTATCAGACCCTTGTCCCGTCACTCAGCTGACTCCATCCCTTCCATGGCTCCCTGTGGCCTCTGAGTCCATTGGCCTTGAATGGCCAGCTCCAGGCTTATCCCCTGCCACGTGGGCCTCCACGCTGCCAGCAGACCCATGGCAGGGCAAGCTGAAGCCAACCACCTGCTGGCCAGCATTGTGAGACTGAGGAGGCCCACAGGGAAGCAGGGAGACTTTGTAGAAAGAGAGGCAGATGAAGGGACAGATTCCCAAGGGATGGTGAGGAAGGAGCCGGACTATCCACAGGAAAGTGAGGGGAGCCCCCTCATTCCTCCGCCTCATCCTAGCCCATGAGCAGGGCCAGCCTTGCCTTGGGTCCTAGCCTGGAATAACAGAATTTATCAGCACTTTTCCCAAACCCTTTTTTAACTTGAAGGTGGGTTACTGCTCCTCATAAGTCAAATAACCCTTCCAACAGGCCACAGTTTATTTGCATGAATGCCTACAAGAGGGCTCTGTGCACCTAGATCACTACAGAGCCCCATGGAAAAAGCCCAGCGGATCCTTGGTGTCATGGCCCACACGCGTACAGCTTCTAATTGCTCTACAGCAGGAGCTCCATTCAGAGCGCTGAGACAGCCGCTCAGATGAGGAAACCCAGCCCCCAGGCAGCAACCACTCCTGGGCATAGCAGGGTTACTTCCAGCCCATTTGTTTGATGTCCCTGTCCTTGCAAAGGGATGTAAAGAGAAAATAGAGCCAGAGTGGAATGGGAAGAAGCTTATACTGAAATGATGCGTGTAAATTTGAGGCTCCACAACAGGACGGGGCCACTTGTGGGGTCACAGGGCCCCTATGGCCAGTGAGCAGGAGGGTGGGGCCAGGAATGGTGAGTGGAAACACTGTTCTGTCTCCAGAGGGTGCCCAATGTCACCCCTCGAGGCCTCCGCCCCACCCAGACACCCAGTTGCTACCACTCATCTACCCCCAGCTGAGGTCATCTTGGGCACACCCTGGTCTCCTTGTTAACTGACTGTGTCCCCAGCAGGAATGAGGGCAGGGCCCTCACTTCTCGGATTCACAGGGGAGGGGAAGAGGCAGTGCTGTGGTGCCCCAGGGCGTTTCCCCTAGCAGCCCGCCCTCACTGGGCACCGAGGGCGGGGTGCAGGTGTGAAGGCCCTGCCGAGGCTGCAGCTGCAGGAACAGGCCTCTCAGTGTCCTTGCAGGCTCTTACTCCAGGGTTAGGCCCCACTGCCAGGAAAGGCTTCCAGGAGACTCTCTTGACTGTGTGTGGGGACAGTTTTGCTTACTGGGAAAGTTCACCTGTCAGGAGGACTTTACAAAGTTTAGGGCTGCCAGGCGCAGTGGCTCAGGCCTGTAATCCCAGCACTTTGGGAGGCCGAGGTAGGCGGATCACAAGGTTAGGAGTTCGATACCATCCTGGCCAACATGGTGAAACCCTATCTCTACTAAAAATACAAAAATTATCAGGGTGTGGTCACATGTGCCTGTAATCCCAGCTACTCAGGAGGCTGAGGCAGGAGAATCCCTTGAACCTGGTAGGCGGAGGTTGCAGTGAGCTGAGACCACGCCACTGCACTCCAACCTGGGCAACAGAGTGAGATTCTGTCTCAGAAAAAAAGTTCAGGGCATGAGCATGTGAAAGTCCTCTGAGGTCATCTGCTTGAGGCTGGGAGAAGGGAATGGCTCAGGGTCCCACCTGAGGTCTGGGCAGAGCCAGAGATCTTTAGACGTCCCGAGGCCCCAGGCAGGACTCACCTGCTCCTCAGCTCTGCCCCAACCTTGTCCTTCAACTCTCAGCTGTGAAGTTAGAACATTCACAAAGCTCCAGCCCCAGCAGTGGGTGGGGGCACTCGGGGCAGGGCCCCCAGGTCCCAGTATCCCTCACTCAGGCACAGAAGACTCACTGGCCGGAGGTGGGCCAGCCTGGGGCACTGGGACCTCTGCATATGGGGCTTTGAGGGCCTGTCCCCTGGGACACAGATCGGAGGAGCCCTCACTCATTGTCACAGAGTGGGGGTAGAGCTCACCTCCCACACACCTGGGGAACTGGACTAGTGATACCCTGAGGAGCCGTGTTAAGGGTCGTGCTCTGAGAAGCTTCCCCAGGCATGCAAAAGGGAGGACTGGGCAAGGGGCTCTGCACCTGGCTGCACCCCCGGCTGCTTCTGAGCAAAACTAAAGTGGTCAGTCAAGACGGGGAGTTCTAATGATGAAAACTTTCGAGAAGTTTTAAACTATAGCCTTAAGGGGTTAACACGGCACCATGCTGATGTTCCTAGCTTGGTTGGTTCTATATTCTGATGGTTCATCATTCTCCAAGCTCACAGGGGCCATGATGTTAGGAGCATGGGGAGGGGGGCTGGAAGGAGTCTGTGCGGAAAGGGGGTAGGCCTGGCCCTGTATGTGGCAGTTCCGCAGTCACCAAGCTAGGATTGTGGAGCAACAAGCCACCACCTTAATGTGAGAAGAGTGGGGACTAGGAAAATGACGATCCTCCACCCCAGCCCAAATAATCCTCACACACTTCAGATGATCTCCGCTAGAAAGCAAGGCCTCTAGAAAGAAAATCACTTTTGAGGTCTCACCAGTCAATTGCACCTGAGAGTGAATGAGTTTATTAGATTCTTCCTGAGAGTAGGTTTCTCAGAGAAAGGGTAAGTGGTTGCACACAAAAAGGCACTTAGCTCCCGGCCAGGGCAGCAGGCCAGGGAAGAGAGGGGAGAACAAAGCAGGGAGACGGGGCATGTGGAAGATGCACGGCAGCTCCTTCCCAATCTGAACAGAATGAACCTCGGTGGCTGGGCACAGGTCCCAGGGACCAAGATGGGTGGGCCCAGGCCTCGGTGATGGAGACATCACAGACACTCAGAGGCACTTGCTGGGAGCCAACAAGACAGGTGACTCTGGAGTTCTTGAGGATGCCCTGCCCTGACCCTGGATGGGAGCAAAAAGGAGCAGAGGCCTCTGGCCAGGACATAGGCCCCATAGTGCTGATGTGCATCTGTGCTGTGTTCTGGGCAGAGGCTGGGTCCCAGCATCTGCTGCACCTGCAGTGAGGCAAGAAGGTCCCAGCCCCAAGAGGCTAGGCTGGGAAGGAGCTGGCTGAGTCTTGCAAATATTCCCAAACCCAGAAGCTCTGCCCGAACAGATCCAGAGGCAAAAAGGGAACAGGGACAATGAGAGGAGGCAGGGGTGCTGCTGTGAGAGGCAGGGGCCGGGCATGAGGGAGGCCTCTCAAGATGAAGATGTGCAGGTCTGTCTTGGCAGAGCTTGTCATACCTGTGGGGCAAAGAGCTGTTAGCACAAGGCAGGGGGGTGCTCAGGATGGAAGGAGAAGGGGGCCACTGGACAGGAAGGCATCCCTTTGCCCATGCCCCACACCCACAATTGCAGGTCAGAGCCCTGCAATCTGCCGGCTGGAGGGGCAGGGGCTCTGCAGAGGTGCGGGCAGCGCAGCCAGCTGAGGGCTCGACCTTGTTCTCATGGTTGGCTTAGACCAGCCTGCATGCATAGGGATGGGGTGTTCTCGGTGGACTGTGTGTCTGCAGGTCAATTAGCATGTGCACAGGGGGACGATGGGGTCTCCCACAGTGCACTGTGGCCCTCCCCCATAGGGCCAGGCTCCTCCCCACCATTCACCTCAGCATCCAGAGTGGAGTCAGATTTCTTTCCCCACTGAGTCCTCTTGGTAGCAGCTGACTCTTTCTGTGCCTCCTGATTGAGGGCATCAGGGTGGAGACCAGGCACTAAGGCCAGGCTCCAAGGGGCTCAGGATCCCCCAGGCCCAGCATCCCCCAGACCCAGCCTCCATCCTAGGATGTCCTTTCTCTTCCCAAAAGAGAAAAGGAACCCAGACCCACCCCTGCTCTCTGCTGGAGTCTGACCCACACACCCATCCATCCCCCACTGTTTCCCTGCTGAAATGACTCAGTCTCTCTCGGCTGTCCCTCCTCTGTCCCCAGTCATCCCACCACAAAGAGTCCACAGTTAAGAGACATCAGGGAGGGTGAGGGCACCTGGGGGTCCTGATCTCCGGACTCCTGGGTCCTGCTGATCCACAGGTTGAGCCTTGATGTCACAATCCCTGAGAGCCTCAAATTCTCCTAAAAAGAGAACCTTCCATCTCAGGGTTTGGGGCCCTTGGCAGCATCGAGGCAAGTTCAGAGGCCCTGGAAGGGGATGGGACTCTCCCTCACTCCCATATGCATCTAGTGCATGCCACATATACCTGGGGCAGCCCTTCCCCTTCCCCCAGGGAGCTGTGTGCCCCGCTAAGGAGATAGGCTCAGGAACGTGAATGGGAACTCAAGTGAAGCTTCTGCCAACATTAACTGACATATGAAAACAGAGTTTTCTAGAACTGCCACGGCCAACACTCAGGTTTCAGAGACCTCGAGGCTAATCAGCCTAAAGACCCTGTGGGGCCTGAGCCCCTCACCTTCCGGCTGGAGGCTGGTTCCTCTTGACTCTGACCTGCCCGTTCCTTCTCAAAGAGGTGGCGCTTGCTGGCTACACTCACAGGGGCCACAAAGAACTCAGTGCGAGAGGAGCCCAGAGACTTGATGGATTCTGATCTCTGGGGAACAAGAACACAAATAGCTGACCCCTGCAGGGGGCAAGGGCCATGCCCACTACTCCTCCTGCCCCGGTCGCCCCTCAGAAGCCCCACCCACCTGTATGGCCGTGTGGTATCTCTCCAGCTTCTCTCCCAACTTCTCTGTGTTGGCTGGGAGCCTCATGCTGGCACTGCAGGATGAGACGGAACAGGGGAGCCAAGTGAGACACCAAGGGAGACCAGGCCTGCCCCTAGGGCCTGAGGAGCAGCCCCGTCACATGTCCTCACTGAGGCAGAGAACGTGGCCCTCCATCACACAGCAGGCTGTGTTGACTTGACCAAGGTGAGAAATTTGCAGACTCCAGGGATTTCCCTCCACTCCTGAGAAACGTCTCATTTCATAGGACATCCCCAGGATGTCCCTCCTTCCTTTCTCCTCCATACCGTATCATTTCCCCGACAAAACAACTTCTGAAGCGGGCCCTTCCTTTCCACCTTCCCCATCACAACAATCACCACCTACCTGCTCTCCCGGCCGGCCACCTTGAGCTCTCCACCAGGCTGCTCCTACCTCGGATCCTGTCCTTCCAGGATCCTGTACCGCAGGCCTTGGTACAGCACACTAGGCTCTAGTGATCTGGTCTCTCCCTTTCCCCCCAGCCCCACAGTATGCCTATGTGCCAGCCAGCTGGACACCACGCTCGTCACTCTGCCTCTCACATGCTGTTCCTTCTATTTAAAATGCTATCCCTCCAGTTTTATATGTGCAAACGTCCTACTAGTTCAGGGAACATCAATTGCTCGGTGACACCTTCCCCAGCTCTCACAGGCTGAGCAGGTGCAGCTACTCCTGAGCTCCTAGCCCTGGGTTCACATTCCTGTGCCTCTGTCCCTCTCCGCTTGGCCAGTGTAAGGGTCTCACGTTTGAGAGAGCTGCTGTAGGTTTGCTGGGTGGGTATGAGTCGCTTGAGGGCAGCAGCTGCGTCATTCATCTTTGTACTCCTCCTCTGTCCCCACCCCAGTCCCCAGGCCTAGGCTGAATGTTCGTGGGGCAGATGAATACAGCATGAGTGGACGACATTCCTAACACATAAGCACATCTGCTTCTCAGATCCTATTTCAGTTTTGCTATTTTTCAAAGCATAGTCCTCAGGCTACTTGCATCAACACCACCGAGCCCAGGAATCCTTGTTAAACCTACAGACCTGCAGCCTCCCACCAGGGCTGCTGAATCAGGGGCTTCCCCTCCTTTACACTGTTCATGGTCTCCCTCCCAGAAAGCCCCCTTTCCCTCTCCTAACCTCAAGGTTAAACCTTCCTCCCCCTTTGTAGCGCCACCCAAGCCCTGCCTCCTCCAAGCAGCTCTCCCTAATCCTTCCCTCCTTGTTCCATCTCATTCAGCCAGAGTCCCTCCTATTAATCCCATCCTCCCCCCCACAATCTGGAGGCCTGGGCAAGGACCACGCCTTCCCCTCATGTGCCCTACAGCACAGCCTGGCACAAGGAGGGTGGGTACAGGTACTCAGAAAATAGCCTGAACACTGCCAGAGAGGAAAGAACCAGAGCCTCCAGGCCTCCCACCTTCGAGTTAGGGTTGTTTCGGAGTTGTCTTTCCTGGGGTTCATCTGAAATGAGAAGGAAAGGTGTTGGTGTCTGGGAGTCCTGGGGAAATCGGTGGCCCCCTCAACTGAGGAGCCCGGCTCTCAGGACATGTCCTCTTCCTCTTCCTCCTCCTCCTCCTCCTCCTCCTCCGATCTCCCACCCCTTCTACCAGGGGTCAAGCCCCACCAGAGAAATATGTGGATAAACCTTCCTTAAAGAACAGCGTTTGTATCTGAAGACACAGGTTCCCACCCACTGATCTGGGTCAGAAGCCTTTCCCCAGGCTTCCTTCTCAGGGCACCTGTAACCACCCGTTTCCTATCTGCCTCCCACTGCCCATGAGCTCTGTGGGGGCACCAGTCACTATCGGGCCTCCAGCCTCCCCTCCAGGGCCTGGCACACATGAGAAGCATGATGTCCAATGAATGAGTGAATGACCCAGTGAAGAGAAGAACTAAGAACAAACACTGGGACAAAGCAAGCTGAGATTTCCCCAATCCACAGAGTTTGTACTATTGGGACAGTCACAGCAGGGAGCACAGGGAGAGCCTTGCTGCTCTCCCTTCCTTCCCTCCCCTCCTGGGCAAGCTTCCTAGGTGAGGTCGGGAACAGATGAAGGCAGGTGTGGACCTCCCTGCAGCCCAGGGCCAGCCCTGCCTATCCAGCCTTCCTGCAGCCCTGGCTTTGCCCACTAGGTGGGGCTCATGCTTATTGGCACCCACCACCCAGGTCACTAACCTGCTCTCCTCTGCTGAATACAGTCTGGTCTGCTCTGGGCCACCCACGGAAATCCAAAGCTCCTCTCTATCCAGAGGACCTTTCTACCTAACCTAAGGCTCCTATGTTGTAATGGATGCGGGCTTCCTCTGCTTGCCCTCCAGCGGCTCACAGACCTAAGTGCCCAGGGCTCTCACCCGAAAAGAGATGGTTCTGGAACTAGAGCGTTTGAGGGAGCTGCTGTAGGTTCGCTGGGTGGGTGAGGACATGTATGTCTCTTCCTCCTTGCTGGGGATTTTCACCTGGAAGGAGCAGGGGGCGTGTCACACAAGACGTCTAGGGCCCACCAGGCCGGGGCAGCCATGGACCCCATGGCTCACCCCAGGAGCTGCAGGAAAAAGGGGAGAGTGAGACAGCCCTGTGCCTTCTTCTCTCCTGCCTCCTTCATCTGCTGTGGGAGTGGCTCGCTGACACAGTCCCTTGGGGTCAGGGCTCCAGGCAGAGCTTTCTAGGGGAGCTTCTAGAAGGATCTGAGGCTTCCCACGAGTCTGCTGGGGTCCTGTAGCTCAGGCCCTGGAGGAGGATGTGGTGGGGAGCACCAGGGGCTCCCTGCCCCACAGCTGGTGACCCTTTAAGCTCCAGCAGCTTGCCCTGTCTTAGTGTCCTTGCTCTGACCATGGCTGGAAGCAGGCAGGGAGAGAAGAGACAGCCAAGGCCAGCCTGCAGGTGGGAGGATGGAGGCAGCCAGAGAACCAGGAACCACCTGGGTGGGACTGGCCAGCCGGGCCTGCCAGGTGGCAGGGTGGAAGGGTGGGAGGGATGGAACACTGCCAACCTGGAGTGTGATGGGTGGGAGGCAGGAGGCCACAGTTGGAGGGTCCGAAGCCCCCTGCTCTGCCAAGGAGGGCAGGTTCTTCCTAGGGAGGATCCTTCCTCTCTGCTCCTTGGTGGTGGCTGGGCTTCCACCAGAGGCTGGTGGTTCCTGCACCAGGAACTGCTCTGAGGCTGTGGCCCTCTTTGGGGCCGGCTTGGTGTCTGTGGTTGGGCTCTTCTCTGAGGCCAGTGTCTTCTCGAAGATAGATGCTTTCTCAGACACCAGTCTTCTTCCTGAGCCCAGTGACTTGTCAGAGACACTGTTTTTTCCTAGATCAAACTTCTTCTCTGACACTGCTGTCTTCTCCAATAGGGATGTCTTCTCTGAGGCCAGCCCCTTCTCGGAGATGGAAGTTTTCTCAGAGACCAGGCTCTTTTTGGGTGCCATCTTTTCTGGTGTGGAGGATTCCTCCAAGACTGGGGACTTCTCTGGAACCCCTTTTTTCCTCCCTCCTGGCTCCCTGCCCATCAAGCTCTCCTCCTCCAGGGCCCAGGGGCCCTGCTGTTCACGACTCAGTCTCCGGCGAGGTGGTGTCTCCAGTTCCTTCCTGGGGACTAGGGGTTGCTGTGTGGCCTGCCCAGGGCTCAAGCTGTCCCTCCCCTTCTCCGCCTCCAGCCTTTCCCGGATGGGGGCCTGTGCAGCCTCCACCGCCTGCTGCCTCTGCCTCCGCTCCTGCCGCGTTCTGAGGATGGTCTGGATGTCCTTGTCCTCGTCTTTGGAGGCTGGGGGCAGTAGCTTGGGCACCTCTGCTTCTTCCGCACTCGGCAGTCTGTGTCAGAAGATGAGAGACAGAATCAGAGGATAGAGGTGGAAGGGATCCTGGGTCTCCCTAACCCAGTGGAGATGCTCGGTGGCCAGGGCCACCGAGGAGGAGGTGAGGAAGTCAGGCCCTGGCCGTCCCAGCTTACCACCACCTGTATCCACTCGATATATTGCACTTCCAAGGTATCAGCTGTACAAAGCACTCTATGCTTTTAAATGCTTATAAATTCCTATAAAGTCCAACTGCTCCATGTTCAGACGTAGTCAACAGACTCTAAATAATGACTTTAATGTGTGCCAGAGCCTGCTCAGGGCATGGGGTCAAAGGAATAAGCACAGTCACTGCCCTTAGATCTTAGATCAAGACTAGAGATGTGCAGGGATGTGGCCAAGGTCACACAGCTAATTGGTGGGGGAACTGGGAGCAGAACTAAGGCTTCCGATGCACCATTCCACAGTCCTGTCAGTTATGTGGGTGCAGCCAAGACTAGGTGACAGCCAAAGGTACTGGTGCAGCCCAGCTCTGGACATCCTCCAGAGTCTGCCGCTGGGCAAGGCTAGGGAAAGGGAGGAGAGGTCAGCACAGCCCTGCTCTCCCTTCTCAGGGGACCCGAATAAACTAAAGCAACATGAGAGGACTGTCCAAAACCCATAGCACCTGGCCTCCAGCACAAGGAGATTCTTTTCCTTCCTTACCACTCTGCTCTCCATGTGATTTCAGGTGAGTTAACTTACTCTCTGAGCCTCAGTTTTCAAATCTGCTAACTGGACTTGTTAGGAAGCAAAATGAGACTCATGAGAGTACCCAGCACAGTCCTGGCACATCAGTGGCATTCAGTAAACTCCAGGCTCATCCCTGCCTCATAATCCCTAAATCTAGATGGTAAAACTAGCCCCAGAGTTCTCCTCAGAAGTAAATTATAGGCCCAGCACAGTGGCACATGCCTGAAATCTCAGCACTTCCAGAGGCCGAGGCAGATTGGATCACCTGAGGTCAGGAGTTTGAGACCAGCCTGGCCAACACAGTGAAACCCCATTTCTACTAAAAATGAAAAATTAGCTAGGTGTGGTGGCAGGTGCCAGTAATCCCAGCTACTTGGGAGGCTGAGGCAGGAGAATCGTTTGAACCTGGGAGGCGGAGGTTGCAGTAAGCTGACTGCATTCCAGCCTGGGTGACAGAGCAAGACTCCATCTCAAAAAAAAAGAGAAGTGAATTATAGAGGGTCAGGGCTAGAGGGAGGCAGTCTGGATAAAGGAAAGAGGCAGGAGCTTAACAGATCTGGAAGGAAACTCTGGCCCTGCCACTTCTGAGGTACATGATCTCAGCAAGTCACATAAGCACTCTTCAACCCTGCTTCTCCACCTGTGAAATGGGTTAAAAATACCTCTCTCTCAGGGATAGAATAAGCATTCTGTAAGCTCTGGCCATAAAACATCCAGCACAGTATTGGCTTAGGGAAGCCCTCAACAAATAGTAGCCAGCTTGTCATAAAGACGATAGAAGCTGGCAGGACTGAGTCTGGGGACAGCAGGGAACTTGAAGTTCATCGTCACATCCTTCAGCCTCATTTCCTGGGCCACAGAGCCCTGGGGAGACGGAACATGCTGCACTTAGACTGAGGCAGCCTGTCCATCCCCATCACTCAGGATAGAAACCTGAGCACCTACCTCTCAGAAGCAGAGGTCCGCCGGTCTCCATGCTGGCTGAGCCTGGGAGCCTCATCCTCCGTCGCAGAGCTCAGGTTGCGGTGCCGCCGCCTGCGCTCACGCTCCTGCTCCTCCTCATCCTCCAGAGTCCGCTGCCAGGCTAGGCTAGGGGAAGGAAGGAGAGAGTCAGCACCGCCGGGAAACCCAGGACCCTTCCAAGGCAGGCTCCTGTGGGGCTGGGAAAAGAGACCAAATGCCCTCCAGGCCTGCACTGGCTACAGGCAGCTCGGAAGCGCTTGAAACATGGATGGTGTGAACCGAGGCGTGCCATGTGAAATACACACTGGATCTTGAAGACCAGTGAATGCTCTCATTAAGAACTCTGTACATTGGCCAGGCACGGCGGCTCATGCCTGTAATCCTAGCACTTTAGGAGGCCAAGACAGATTGCCTGAGCTCAGGAGTTCAAGACCAACCTGGGCAACATGGCAAAACCCCATCTCTACTAAAAATACAACAAATAAAAAATTGCTGGAGTGTGGTGGTGCGCACCTGTAGTCCCAGCTACTGGGGAGGTCAAGGCATGGGAATCACTTGAACCCAGGAGGCAGAGGTTGCAGTGAGCCGAGATTGTGTCACTGTACCCTAGCCTGGGTGACACAGTGAGACTGTTTCAAAAAGAAAGAAAAAATTGTGTACATTGATTATGTGTTGAAACGGTAATATTGTTGATATATTGGGGAAAATTAGCTAGTGTATTAAAATTACTTTTATTTCTTTCCTTTTATTTCTTTTCTTTTGCTTTTTTTTAGACGGAGTCTTGCTCCATCGCCCAGGCTGAGTGCAGTGGCATGATCTCAGCTCACTACAACCTCGCCTCCCGGGTTCAAGTGATTCTCCTGCCTCACTCTCCCGAGTAGCTGGGATTACAGAGGTGCACTACCACACTTGGCTAATTTTTGTATTTTATTAGCGACGGGGTTTCACCATGTTGGCCAGGCTGGTCAGGAACTCCTGACCTCAAAGTCATCCACCTGCCTTGGCCTTCCAAAATGCTGGGATTACAGATATGAGCCACTGCGCCCGGCCTTTTTTTTTGAATCAGGGTCTCCCTCTGTTGCCCAGACTGGAGTGCAATGGCAAAAAAACGACTCACTACAGCCACAACCTCCCAGGCTCAAGTGATCCTCTCACCTCAGCCTCTCAAGTAGCTGGGACTACAGGCGTGCAGCACTACACCCGGTTAATTTTTAAATTTTTTGTAGAAATGAGGTCTCACAATGTTGCTCAGGCTGGTCCTAGACTCCTGGGCTCAAGTGATCCTCCCACCTCACTCAGCCTTCTGAAGTGCTGGGATTACAGGCAGGAGCCACTGCGCTGGGCTGCTTTTTACTTTTGTGACTACTCAAAAACTTAACATTTTAGGCTGGGTGTGGTGGCTCGCCCCTGTAATCCCAGCACTTCGAAAGGCTGAGGAGGTGGATCACCTGAGATCAGGACACAGTGAAGCCCTGTCTCTGCTGAAAATACAGAAAACAATTACCGTGGTGGCACATGCCTGTAATCCCAGCTACTAGGGAGGCTGAGGCAGGAGAATCACTTGAACCTGGGAGTTGGAAGTTGTAATGAGTTAAATGCCATGCATTCCATCCTAGGCAACAAGACCGAAACTCCATCTCAAAAAAAAAACTTAACATTTTAAATGTAATTCAAATTATACATCTATTAAATTCCCAGTAAAGCTGCAGGGCTGTGGATTAGACCCGGGTTTCTCCCGCTCAGCACCGTTGACACTTTGGCCAGACAGTTCTGTGTCTGGGGCTGTCCTGGATCACAGGAGGTCTAGCGGCATCCCCAGCCTCTACCTGCTGGGTGCCAGTAGTACATTCCCCAGCTGGGACACCCAAAATGTTTCCCGACATTGCCAAATGTCCCCTGGGGGGCAAAGTCACCCCAGATAGGAACCATTGGGATGGACGGTACTGTGGACCCCAGGAAGGGAATGGGGGGGCCTCCTTCCCTGGGGCTGACCAGGAATGTGGAAGGGCAGGCCTGGTCCTTTCTGAAGGAAATAGATGCACTGCCAAGTGCCTTTCTCTTTTTGGCCCTGGGATTCTTAGGTAATAACCCTCAGTACAGTCATGGAGATAATTCCTCAGTTACTCAATTCCCCGTGGATTTTCTTAGCTCTTGGGAAGGGAAGACTTACACCTGGATAAAACTCTAATATCACCTTCCCTTCACTTCCCAGGGATTTTTGGAGCCTACCTCACCTTTCAGATGGAAAAAACTTCATTGAAAGAGTTGAGCCACAGAGCTCCACAGATCTGGATGGAAATCCAGACAACTTTCATTTGTCTAGGGAGCAAGGGGATCCCATACCCCACTTTTGGTTCTTGCCCCAGTCGCTCTTCATTCATGGGGCCAACCAGGCATTCTACAGCCAGCCAGCCAGCCAACCCCACCAGTCTATCCATCTACTGCTCACTCACACACCCATGTGCTCAGCCACCCACCCGTTTCCACCATCTTTATCCACCAGCCCATCTTCCATCCACCCACCACCTCCCATCAGCCCATCTTCCAACCACCCTACCCCTTCAAATCCAACCAAAGAGCAAATGAAAACTGAGTGACTGTGACAGGCCAGCACCACGTCAGGAACTGTGTGGGGTCACAGAACATGGCAGGGTCTCTGCCCCGGAGATACTGACAATCTAGTGAAAAAGAGAAGTGTGTCCACCAATAACTCCCCCACCAAAGTGCAGAAGCTCTTCTGCAGAGTGAGAACAAATGCCATAGGCCAGGATGATTGGAAAAGGCTCATGGAAGAGATGAACCTGTGCTGCATCTCGGGGAACACACAGGCTTTCAACGGGGTGGCTGGCGGTCCAGGCAGAGGGAAGGTATCGAGCAACTGAGGCGCAGGGTTTGCTGGGGGTAAGAGGCTGAGCTTCACCCCGGGAGACAGGAGAGGGTGTGAACAGGGGAGTACCAGGCTATGAAAGTCAGCCGGGGAAGCCCTTCCTGGCACCTCCTTGTGGCTCCCCCTGCATTGTCTGCGAATCAGGTTAAAAGGTTCTAGAAAAGCCTCTGTCTTTCCTCCCGGAGTTACAGGAATGACTGCAAGTCCTCCCCTTGCCACTGCCAGATGCCAAACTCTCTGCTCTTTGCTCCCCAGCCTCTCCTGCTGCCCAGCCCGGGTTCCCTCTGAGCCTCTCTCCTCCGGGAGGGCCTGAACGATTCCTCAGGGATTCTTTGGTAAGGCAGGGTCAGGTGGTCTGGTTTCAAGTCCTTTTGCCCTCGGGTAAGTCACTTCCATATCTCTTTGTCAGTTTTCTCTTGTAAAATGAGAAGGATGAACCACATGACCACTCTGACATTTTTCTAGGTCCCACATCCCCTGGATGGAGCCAGTATTCACTAAAAAATTACTTTTGAGCACCTACTGTGTGCCAGGCATGATTCCAGGGGCTGGAAACAGCAGGGAATGAGACCAGTGGGGTCTTTCCCTTCACAGAGCACACATCCAGCATGGGGGGAGTCAGACCGTGAGCAAGGAAACCAGCCCATGAACAAAACGGCACCAGCAAGGTGTCACTAGCCAAGGGCACAAAGCGAGTGGCATGAGAGAAGGTGGCTGGGTGGAGAAGCCCCCTTGGAGAGACATGGTTCATGAGGAGGAGGCAGCGAAGCAAGATCTGGTAGCGGGTGTCCCGGGAGGAGGATCCAGCCAGTGCAGAGACCACATGAGAGGAGCTGGCTACTCAGGGGAATATGGGAGGCTGGGGCCAGAGTGGCCCACAGAAAAGTTGGACAGGCAAGGCCAGCGCAGAGGGCCTTGGAGACCATGAAAAGGACTTAGGTTTGGTTCCAGGTGTGCTGGAGAGCCCTGGAGAGTGGTACACAGAGAAGCGACATGACAGGATCGCTCTGTTTTTAATCTCTCTCGTTGCTGTATGAAAAAAAATTGACGGGGCCAAGGAGAGGGGAAACAGGGGACCCATCAGAAGGCACCTGCAGTCACGCAGGCGAGAACTAGAACTACAGTGGTTTGAACTGGGGTGGTGACAGAAAACACGGGGGAAAGTGATAGATTCGGGACATGGTCTGAAGATACAGCCACCAGGGTTTGCTGTTGGTTGTTGGGTGAGAGGAGGGGGAGGAAAAGAGAAGAATCGAGAACTGCTAGATTTTGGGCCTGAGCTATTCCTGGAGCTGCCATTAGTAAGATGGGGAAGACGAGGGGAGGAAGGAGTGTGGTGGGCTGTTGGGCGATAGTGGGGAGGGACAAGAGGAAAATGAAGAGCTGTGCTTCTGGCGTGTTCCGAAGGAGAAGAAACCAGTGAAAAGCAAAGATCAAGATGCTGCAGCCAGGAAGCTGGAAGGAAACTAGAGGAAGGTGTTGGCATGAACAGGGGAGTGAGGGCCCCAGTCAGATGCTGCTGCAAGGGGAACGAGACCAGGATGGAATCATGAGCACAGAGCGCCAGGTGCCACAGGAAAAGCAGATGCCAGGGTGTGCCAGAGCCTGAGCAGGCTGGCGGGGGTAAATGGAAACCAGCAAATGGAATTAGTGAGCAGTAACAACTCTTTTGAGAAGCAAATAGAATGGGACAGTAGTGACTGGGCGCAGCGGCTGACACCTGTAATCCCAGCACTCTGGGAGGCCGAGGTGGGTCGATCACATGAGGTCAGGAGTTCGAGATCAGCCTGGCCAACATGGGGAAACCTGGTCTCTACTAAAAACACAAAAATTAGCCAGGCATGGTGGCAGGTGCTTGTAATCCCAGCTACTAGGGAGGGTGAGGCTGGACAATTGATTGAACCCAGGAGGCGGAGGTTGCAGTGAGCCAATATCATACCACTGCATTCCAGCCTGGACGACAGAGCAAGACTCCATCTCAAAAAAAAAAAAAAGAAAAGAAAAGAATGGGACAGTAGCTAGAGGGGATGTGGGCTCAAAGAATGCTTGTTTGAGTTGAGGTATAATTTACATAAATGTACAGATCTTAAGTTTTTTTTTTTTTTTTTTGGATGAGCAAACAAAGGAGAGTGGAGACGTTCTGAGAGGGTTGAAGAGACTGACTGGCTGGGCACGGTGGCTCAGGCCGGTAATCCCAGCACTTTAGGAGGCCAAGGTAGGAGGCTAGGAGTTTGAGACC